AAGCTGATGAAAGCCGGTCACCCTGGGCAGATGGGAGGACCTATCTCCGGTATGCCAGGCTCACCCTCCGGAGGTTCTCCGATAGGACAGAGTCCCATGTCTCCTTCACAGAATTCTCCGTCAATGCGTGATGGACACTCCCCCCCACCCCACCATCCATCCTACCTCCCTCAGGGGTCCAACCATCACACCACCCCCTCCCCTGCACCTCATGGGGATATGTCCCCCCACCATCATCCTCACATGAACCATCACTCTGGTTCTCCGCCAATGCCCCAGTGGCCATCTCAGATACCGCCACACCTACAGCAGGATATAAAGCCTCCTCCCATGATGCCCCTCGCTCCAACCTCTGGTATGGGAATGGGAGGATATCCTCAGTACTCTTGGTACCAGACGGAGGCCGGTATGAATCAACATCAGGGGCTTCTTACATAAATGCCTCCGCCGCCTCTCTTCTTCTTTAACCCGCCAATTCCATCCACCTCCGGTCGGAGGCAGGGGATAAACAATCGGCGACAAGTTACTTAGTGTCGTTATATCTGTGATGCTTGATTTACGGCGGAGTTCTGTCCGCCCTCTCCCTCTGCCGATATCCGGGATATCGAGATACTTAAGACAGGGATATCCACGGGGGTAGAAGTGATATCCATCATCGATCTCTCGTCCTTAATATGGATATCCATCGTTAACAGGATATCTTCTACGATAAAGAAAATACTTTTTTATTGAGAAAAATGTATAGAAAAAAGGAGACAACGATTAAAATTTAGATTTTTTCCGGAAAATTTTCGACGTGCAATAAGAATGTTAAACCACTCAATCAATATTGTAAAATTATCAAAATTATTATTTTCTTCTCCACATCAGTAATTGATAAAATTGAATAATTTGAGGTTTATGCCAAAGTTTCCCCTTAATAGTGAATTTCTATCCCCCCCCCCCTCCGTCCAGCCCCATTGAAAATTACGAAAAAATGCATTCTTAGAACATCTAGATTTTTGGGTCATTTCACACTTTAGATCCAATCCGAAGACACTGTTTTAAACCTTATTTAACGCGAAACTAGTCTTTATGTAAAAAAAAAACTTTCAAAAATAATTCCGACCCTTAATTGACTGAAACCAAGCCAATCTTTACATTCCCATTGACAAGTATAGTATGGAATTTACTTAAAATCGATCAAAATTCCACCAAAATTATTTCAAAAATTAATTTAACTAGGAACTTAGTTTGAAATAATTTTGATGGATTTCTTGAATTATTTGTTAGTTAATTGTATAAATCATCTAGATCTGTTTAAATTGCTAAATGTTGTATAAAAAAGTTGTTTTATTGTGAAAAAATAAATATAAACAGAAGACAGTTTTACTATATATTTTTAAAGAACTGTTAATAATTAGCAGGAGGAAAGAAACCTAATTCAAAAGTTGAAAAAGAACAAAAAATATAAATTAGAGATATGTTGGAAGAAATAAAAGAAATATGAAAACAAGAAAAGTTGAGCAAGAGAAAAGAAGGGAAAAGAAGGGAAAAGAAGGGAAAAGAAGGGGAAAAATGTGAAAAGAAGGGAAAGAAGGGAAAAGAAGGAAAAAGAAGGGAAAGTAGGGAAAAGAAGGGAAAATAAGGGAAAAGAAGAGAAAAGAATGGAAAAGAAGGGAAAAATGTGAAAAGAAGAGAAAAGAAGGGAAAAGAAGTGAAAAGAAGGGAAAAGAAGTGAAAAGAAGGGAAAAGAAGGGAAAAGAAGGGAAAAGAAGGGAAAAGAATTGAAAAGAAGGAAAAGAAGGAAAAGAAGTGAAAAATAGAAAAAGAGAAAAAGAAAAGAACAAGAGGGAAAAAGAGAAATATTGACAAAAGAAGAGGAGAGTAGGAGGAATAAAGATAATAATAGTTAGAAAAAAAGAGAATAGATATAGTAGAAGAAAATGAAAGGTGGAAAAACGGGAAAAGGAAGAAAGAACTCCGAAAAAACAAGCAAGTGAGAGATAAAAGCGGAAAACAGAGAAAAGTAGAAAAGTAGAGAAATATTTGACAAGTGGGAAAAAATGAAAGTTAAGAGAATTTTAGTAAGAAAGAAGAGAAAAGGAGAAAAGATGAAAAAAGTAAAAAGATAGAATGCCTAAAAAAGATAAAATGATTAAAGAATATAGAAAACTAAAAAAAGATAAATGCTTAAGAAAAGAATGGTAAGTAAAGGAGAATTAAAAATGTGAATGGCGGAACGACGAGAAAAAAAGAAGGGAATGCAAAACAAATGCAGAAAGAACCGGAGAAAGAAAGAGAACTGTAGTGAGATTTGAAAAAATAAAAATGGGAAGGATGAAAAAAGTGAAAAGAGAGAAAAGAATGAAAAAATAAGACAATAGCAGTATTAAAGAGTAGAATGCAAAGAATAAAAGGAAGATGAAAACAGAAAAGAATAAGATAAAAGAAGAAAAAAAGAACGGAAGAAAAGGAGGAAAGATAAGAAAAAATAGATGAAAATGGAGGAAAATTATTGAAAAAAAAGCAAAGTATAAGGAAAATCATAAACTTGTTCATTTTATTTTAAAACTTGCCTTTTACATGTGTTGAGGGCTGAAGGTAAAAGTGTACCAAGATTTGTCATAAATAAAAAAAAAATCTTAACAATCCCATCCAGACGTTTCAGACGTTCTTTAATGTTCAAAGAAGCTCTGGTCATTAAAAATTGTCTAATGTAATTATTTGCAGCTCTACACTTTCACTCAAAAAAGACAAACATATTTTTCTAAAAGAATAATTATGATCATATTTAAATGAATGACAGTTTTATTTTAAAATTGCTAATTTGAAATTTGAAAAAGGGAAATTGAGGAAAACCCGATAAAAATTACTGAAATAGAAAACTAAGGATTAGAAAATAGATAAAGTTTTACTCAAAGACTCAAAAATTAAACCTGAAAGAAGTAAGAAAAGCAGTTTGATATTTTGAAAAAAACTCCGATCTCCGTGTTTTGTAATAATTAATGTATGATTCGAGGTTTCGTGATTACCTGAAATATATAAATATCTACATTATTTCTAAGGTTGAAAAGTAGGAGAATAACATGATAACATGAACTAATTAATATCTTCACATTTTTGATATCAAGGTAGAGATATCAGGGGTAGAGATATCAGGGGTCTTTTAATTAAAGTTTCCCATCAAAAATTCACAATAGTACCCTTAACATCTTTGTCCTATTGAGACATCCTATTTAAAAAAGTCACTTATTAATTGTATTAGAACACACAAAGTCAATTTTCTTATCCCCGTTCCCCATAACAAATAAAAGACAAAATCAAATCAATTTCTGATGTTTTTCATGTGCCTCTCTAGTTAAAATAGTGCGACTATTATACACTTTAATTGTAGTTTTAATAGTTATAAAACAATATTTGTTTAGATATCTACAATGTATCTATTGGTTCTTATCTTCATATGTACGCAAAGAATGCGTCACAAATGCGTACGCTAGCGTATTGAGATATGATGATGTGGGCTTTATGTGCCGCAGCACTTAATTGATCTTGATTGGGATACTTTGCGTCAAGTTCTATCTANGGTATACGCAGAGAGTAGTTTGTAGTTGTATGTTTACTAGAACACAGAGTAGGTATACGCAGAGAGTAGTTTGTAGTTGTATGTTTACTAGAACACAGAGTAGGTATACGCAGAGAGTAGTTTGCAGTTGTATGTTTACTAGAACACAGAGTAGGTATACGCAGAGAGTAGTTTTCAGTTGTATGTTTACTAGAACACAGAGTAGGTATACGCAGAGAGTAGTTTGCAGTTGTATGTTTACTATAACACAGAGTAGGTATACGCAGAGAGTAGTTTGCAGTTGTATGTTTACTAGAACACAGAGTAGGTATATAGAGAGTAGTTTGCATTTATATGCTTAATAGAACACGGAGTGGGTATACAGAGAATAGTTTGCAGGTATATGTTTACTAGAACACAGAGTAGGTATACAGAGAGTAGTTTGCAGTGGATTATTGCTCAAACCTAGCAATTTTAAACTTTAAAATAAAAACTCGAATAAATCTTAAATTCGGCTTTGAAATTTGTACTTTTTTATTGTAAGCAGCTGTTTCATCATCGATTTTATTTAAATGATCAATGTGTTGATTATTAAATTTGAAATCAATGATCTCCTGATAGAGTTTTCTTATATTTTTCGAAAATAATATTTGTATATTAATTCAAACATGCGTGTTAATGAATATTGAAGAAGTCGGTTCACACAACCAGAAAATTGGGATGAAATAAATTTCCTAGATTTTCTTTCAATTTAGTTCAAAATCGTGTCCATAGAGGGCCGGTGGAGGAAGATGGTGTGTGTAGTTATTTTATTCATATTTTTGTGATAATATTAACTGTAGGGAACAAGATTTATTATACTATACAAACACCTAACTTGGAAAATTAAATTTTAACTTCATCATTTTTTACAAAAATAATTTACAACGGTAGAATAAAAGCTTTGGTTATCAATGTGAATGAGATATCCATGATTTCTTGTAGTTTTTCTTCAGCAGTCTCTAGCGGATTTTTTTTTTGCTACTGAAACAATGGAAGAAATTGTAAGATTTAGAAAGATTTAGCCAGGAATCTTTAACAATATTAATCGAATTAAAGTTTAAAGATTATATTTAAACACTTAAGTGTTTTAATTATAAAATTTTTTCCTAGTTTAAAGATTTAGTTCTAATAGATCTAGAGAAATAAAAGGTTAGTTATCCAAATTATACTTTTACCAAGAAACAGTTATAATGCTTGATATTTTGAAAAGGTCGAAAAAAAAGATTATTGAAAATAAATTACAAGAGTTTTTCAAGACAAATAAGGAAATAAATGTCAAGAAAGTGAAACCAATTTTATAGTTTTAAAGGACTAAAAAGTTTGCTTAAGAGTAAATTTTAAATTCAAATTATTTAAAACTTTAGATGGTTATATTTTCTCTCCTTTTTGGATATATTTGTAAATTCTAATTCAAAATTATACGAAAAGTCGACTATCTATTCCAGAACTTTCTGATCATCACTGTAGTGGTAGGGGTATCAAATATCATGCCAGTTAACCCAACCAAATATTTTCCTTTCAATCAACAGCTATCGCTTTATTCACGTGATTTACATCATTTAAATATCCCTGGCTTATTCGTGTGCATATGTATATACTGTATTAAGAAAATATTTACGATTAGAAAAATTTAGAGAAAGGAAAATAAAAATCTTTAAAACATCTGGCCTGAAGGTTTAAATGAAAATAATGCAAATAAGTTTTAGGTTTAAAAAACAAGATGTCTGCATGCATTCTCTCTGTTGGATTATAATAGAACCAGACGCGCGGAAAAATGCGATTCCGATAAAGGAAACCAAGATCTGCTAAATTGAGCAGAGATCATGCGCGCGCACACTTTTATTCATGCACACACGCAAACTAGACGCGCTTATCATACATACATTCATTCATTCCTATTTTACAATATTTAGTTAGGATTATCAGAAATAAATAGAAGACGACCATGTCCAGTTTTATTTTGTCATATTTCTTAATGGGTCTGTCGACTGTAGTTTTATGTCACTCTCAGATTCACGAAAGTACCCTTAAAAAATCGATTCTCAAAAGTAACCACCCAAATGGATGATTTTGAAAGTCGACATTGCGCTTAAACTCAGTAATTATACAAAATTAAAACGTTTAATATGTCTCAAATGAATCTCCACAATACTACCACAATCTCAGTTTAACTACCATACATTACCAGTCACCCTCTTTAATAAGGTTGCTCACTCTAGATGCTCTCCGACGTACAGAAAATGTCGTCTTCTAAGATAGATAGATAAAACCTCATATGACATCAATTTCGCACTCTCTAATCAGTGACGTCATATGAATTGTTTATCTTTCTACTTTGGGAGACGGCATTTTCCGTACATTGGAGCGCATTGAGAGTAAGCAACCTTATTAAAGAACCTTGGATATTACAAACTAACTGGTTTTGGTTCAACTAAGGTTGTTTATAAAGGTTAGATACTCTGGATGGGCTGCAATGTACGGAAATGTCGTCTTCATAGCAATGGAGAGTGAAAATCCTCAAATGACGTATCTGTGTATTGTTGAGGATGAGGTGACAACGTTGGTGATGAGAAGGGGAAGGGGGTGGGAGAGGATTTACTTCGCTGTTTACAGCTGACAATCTTGTATCCAACATTTTATTCTGTTGAAAAAAAAATTAGTTTTGTAATATAGAAAACAATAATTGTTTTGGTCATTGAAGAAAACTATTGTTTCGTTTTGTTCCAATTCCCGCATTTCATACGTGTTTATTATTTTCAAAAAATTGAAA